CCCCACCCCCCACTGAATATGCAGTTGTTTAGGAGCTGAATAATTAATATTTGGCAGTAGTTTCTATGTACAGTATGCTCTTAATGGATAGGGTTGATTTAAAGTGCAAGTTTTAGATAAAGTGGAGGGGATTGAAACATCTGTTAAGTTTTTTTATTGCTTTCTGTGTCAATGTTATGGAGATTTACTCTCTCTAAATGTGTAGTGACTGTTATCACTGAATGTGGGCCCTGAAAGAAAATCCCAAATTTGAAGTTCTCATCAGAACAGGAATAGATTGGAAATCTTCCAATGGGGACACTAGTTTCCAGTGACCCTGCTGACCACTAGGGACTTCCCTCTCTTTGGAGGGATTTTCTCTCACTTCCATTCATGCCTATCGGACAGGAAGCTGACAAGGCTTACTCTCCCTAACTTTATAAAAAACTATATAAAACGTTTTGGCTTAGTTTTACTCATAGCACAATATTATTTCTCTTCAAACAGTTTTCTATCTGTATATGCAGTAAACCCACAGATATTTAGTGCAAATATGTCATGCAAAGTTACCAATGCAAAACCTTCCTAGTCACTTATACATCCACAATTTCCCATAGCGATGTGAAACATTTGAGTCACTCACCTACTTCTAAATCACACAGTTTCTTGTTCATATGTTGATTTACAAAGATTTCTACAGTAAAAAAAGAAAGCTTCTATGCTTGTCATACTGCCTTGCAGAACAGGCCTATTATATCACGTTATTAGTGTACATCCTAGGTGCAGTGTTCATTAACACCTGCTTTTGAAAAGCTTTGGACCACACTTCATTTTCACTATGCAAACCTAATTTTATTGTGCTGTATTGCCTAGGCAGTGGGAAATCGGTTACAAGTGTGCAGTTAGATATGTCACTCAGATGCATAGACACCACAGCTATTTTTAATAACTGTCTGGTTTTCATGTGAAGTACTTGTGAATGTATGGTTCTTCAAACACACAATCTGCAAATTCAATATCCACAACCCTCGTCAGTTTTCTTGTACCTGCAACTCAACCCTTGAAACCTACTTTTACCATTATCATGTTACCATTGAAGAGAGATTCTCATTTTGCAGAGAGTGTTTTTTAATTTTTGTGGCATCTGCAGAGAGCAGTTAGGATGCAGACAGCCTAAGTGTTTCTTCATTTTAGGAGAGTACCTAACCTTAGGTTGTTTACTGCTTCTTCCAGCTGCTGAGTAATGAATATTTATATGCCTAGCCAATCACTAAGGAGTTGGTCCTAGTAATGTGAGGCAGGAAGATGATAAATATTTAGGACAAACTTTCCATAATGTTCTAAGTTCCCGGGGCTTCTGCTCATAGTGATAGTGCGCTGAACTCTGATACCGTTGGAGTTAGACCTAACAGGTTATGTGTTGGAGGCGTGTCTCCTTCTAGGAGACTACTATAATATACTGACCCACAAAAGGAAAACTACTTTAGCCTTGGGGAGACACCTGCTGCTGCCACCATCTCTTACAGAGAGATAGTGAGTGACCGTAGGAGAAGTTAACATAGTCACTTTCTCACATCTCCTTAGAATCTGCCACTATGGTACCACTTACAGACCTTGGTCTGTACACACCTTTGTCCCTACATAACCATGATAACCAGAGGTCTGTAGGGAACACAGAATATATTTGAAGATGATCTACAAAAAGAAAAAGTAGTTTAGCTTTGAGGCGGCACCTGCTGTTGCCCCTCCCCCCCCCCACACACACTTACAGAGAGGTGGTGAGTAGACATGTGCACCAGCAAAAAATATGTTTAGTTTCGTTTTTCGGGTCCGAAATTAAATTAGTTTCGGACGAAATTCGTTTATGAAAAAAAAAAAACTTTATCCATTACGTGGCCTGGCGTGGAATTGAACCTGCAACCTTAGCAATGGGAAGCCTGTCCTCTATCCACTACTCTATAGCCTCTGTACTGTGCATGGAAGCATTTGATATATATGAATGCAATATGTAGCATTTGACAGTTGAGAATGTCAAATGTGCGGAGTGAGCCGTGACGTCATGGCTCGTTCCGCCCATCTGTTGACACAGACTGAATGTCATTTTTTTGCGGCTGGTTTTCGTCATTTTCGGTTGGTCGTCTGCGGAGGGACTTTTTTTATTTCGGCGGGTCGGCGGGGGTCCTGCATCCTGATCCTGACTCTGGATTACATCGATGGAGCCATTTTTCTTTTATTAAAGAAATTGTCAAAAATTGACTGTTTGTTTTTTTTTCAATTAAAGGATTTTGTCAAAAGTCTGGACTTTTTACTAACTATTTGATTTAACCCTTACTCATTCACATGGGGGGGGCGGCATCTGGGTGCCCCCTTATTTAAAGGGGTCCCCCGATGCAAATAAGCTCCCTTGCCCACAGACCCCCACAACCACCGGGTCAGGGTTGTGGGGAAGAGGCCCTTGTCCCCATCGGCACAGGGACACCCTCCCAACGCCGAGGGCACGTGGCCTGGTAAGGCTCAGGGAGGGGGGGCGCTCGATCGTCCCCCCCCTTTCCTGCTCTGCCGGGCTTGTGCTTGGATCAAGGGTCTGTAGGACTGTTAGGGGGGACCCCACGTTTTTCCCCCCATTTTTTGGGGCTGGGGTTCCCCTTTAAAATTCCTACCAGACCTTAAGGGTCTGGTATGGATTTTGGGGGGAACCCCACGCACTTTTTTTTGTTGTTATAAGGAGGGGGGGTGTCCCTCCTAACATTCCTACCAGACCTAAAGGGTCTGGTATGAATTGGGGGGAAACCTCACGCTTTTTTTTTTCCATCTTCTGCAGACTGTAAAAAAAAAAATCATTTTGCTGCAACAGAATTCGTCCAATAATGAATTTCGTTGCATCAAAATGACATTAAGGGGAACAAAAATGACTTTTTTTTACAAAAGCAAAGGAAAAAAAAAAAACTTTATTCATTACTCGTCCGGGCGTGGATTTGAACCTGCGACATTAATGTAATTTTGCTGCAACGAAATTCGTCCAATAACGAATTTCGGGAAATCGGGAATTTGGGATTTGTTTGCATTCGTCTTAGCTGTAATTCGGAATTCGGATGCATCCGAATCTCCGAAAATTCGTCCGAATTTCGGAACGAACCGAATCGCACATGTCTAGTGGTGAGTGAGTGTGGGAGCAGTTAACACAGGAACTTTTTCACCTCACCTCTCCTCTCATAGGATCTCCTACCAAGGTACCACTTAAGGTCCCCACACACCTTACGATAATCGTACGATAATCGCGGGAAATCCCGCGATCGTACGATTATCGTAAGGTGTGTGGAAGCCGTGCGACCTCTACTACTGTAAGGTCGCACGACTTTAAACTTACGGACATGTTCGAAAACCCGCCGAGCATCGTACGATGTTCGGCGGGTTTGTGGAATATCCGTACGATAAAAGCCGTACGGGCCGGTGTGCGCAAGCGCACACTGCCCGTTCGGCATTGCGGTCATCGGAAGCCCGCCCCTCAGGGGCCGTGGCTTGCGATCATCGTAAGTACGATCTGCCTATGCAAGATAGGCAGATCGTACGTTTTTTTAAGTACCTTACAACCATCGCAAGACAAAAGTCTTGCGATGGTTGTAAGGTGTGTGCCCAGCCTTACAGACTTACAGACTTTGGTTCCTATGGAACCAAAGGTCTGTGAGTTTGCTATTGACCAGCACAGTATGGGGGAACAAAGAAAGTATTTGAAGTTAGAAGACAGTTTGAATTTTCAACTGTAGCAAACTTTTTTTGCTTTGCATAGAATATGTTAGCTTATTTTTTTCTGTCTGAGCACTATTGGGGACATTTCTTTTCACTTCCTGTCCCAAATGATGCCAGAGGAACTATGAGGAAATCCCCAAAATGAGAAGGAGGAGTCCAGGGCACGGCGGCGGGCAAAGCGGACCTGCACCAACACAATCAACTTGATTGTGTTCAACCTGGCCCGGCCCACCGGGCAAGTGTCCAGTTTGCCCTATGGCCGGTCCGGCCCTGCCTGAGAGCCTGCACAGCCCACCATAGACCCTGCACAGCCCACATGAGAGGTCACCCAGCCCACAATAAAACCTGCACAACCCAACTGAGGGTCCGCACAGTCGACCATAGCCACCTGAGAGTCCATACAGCCCACTACAGACCCTGCATAGCCACCTGAGAGTCCGCACAGCCCACCATAGAACCTGCACTGCCTCCTGAGACCCCGCACAGCCCTCCTGAGACCCCACACACCCACTTGAGATCCTCCACTGGAGACATCAGGCCGGCACCCCAGAGCAGCACAGAGTATGTAGCTTCATATTATTATGCATTGGTTTATACTGATTTGCTGGGATTTGTAGTCCTCTATACCCGGCTGTTATTCGGCATTGCAGTCCTTTCTAAGTCATGGTATTATTCTGCATTGCTGTATAATGTATTGCTGGGATTTGTAGTCCTCTATAGCCGGTGGTATTATTGTGCATTGCTGTAAAATGTATTGGTGAGATTTGTAGTCCTCTATAGCTGGTAGCATTGTGCATTATTGAATAATTTATTCCTGAGATTTGTAGTCCCTCCACAGCTTGGAGTCAGTGGCAGGGATGCAGCATTTGCAGCTGGGACCACCCCCCGGCACTTCATCACTGTCCTAAAATCATTCATCTGTATTGTTTAAGAAAAACTGTCAAATGACACCGCAAAAAAAGTATTGGTAATTGGTATCAGCGAGTACCTAAGAAAAAATATCAGTACTCGTACTCAGTCCGGAAAAAATGGTATTGTGCATCCCTAGCGACAACACTGGAACACTGGAAAAGAGCTGTCATGCTATAACAGGAAGTGCATAAACAAAGACTTTCATGGCAGGATCACCAGGTATTATTTTAGAAAAGATTTCGGATTCTTACCTGGCAAGTGTCATCTTTACGCTTTTTAAGTGGTCCTGCGCATATCATACTGCTGATTATTGTCTCTTTTGGCTTAGCCGTACTGTAAGCTTTGCTGCAGACTTTATTGTCTACAATGGTCAGATTAACCTCACGTAGGACATCAGATAGTTTCTTGTTTTTTGGGTCAGTGACCCCCCACCCTGCAGTGCTGCACTGGGCTTTGGGCTTCACATTCTCTTCTTGATTTGGTAGTGGCAGGATTGACACAAACTTATTTAACTTGGCAGGTTTCTCCAGCTGTAAACAAAATAAAAACATTTACTGTTTTTGTATTCTTGATGTATAACTTTGTATTATTCAAGAAATTTCAGGAGAAAGTTACTGAACCAATACCTTAACCACCTATTAGGGGCGAATAACTAAACTAGGTTTCTCATAAAAATATTCAGTTCACACACTTAAAGGAAAACCAGAGGATTAAGAAAAAAAAAAAAAATCCCCCCTTCCCTGTGTATAGATAAAAATAGCGTCAGGGTGTACTAACTTGCCACCACCTGCAGCTGTTCACAGGCCTTTTGCATGTAATTGCACATGCTGCGATTAGTTGGGGACAGTTGCACATGGACGCAGACCGATTGCATCTAGGTGCAATTGTCCACAGGTAACCGCAGCATCTGCAATTTCATGCGAACGGCCTGTGAGCAGCTGCAGGCAGTTGCAGTGTCTCTCGCCCACAGAAGATTGCATGAGATTCATGGAGGAATTTGTCAGACACATGCGATCGGCCAAATTCACAAGTGTGAATGGGGCTTTAAGCTGAACTCCACGCAATTAGCTAAATAGACAACTGAAATACATAGGGTTTCAATTTCTGTCAATCCAGTCCTGGGATTTATGCAGTCCTACAGGATCACAAATGCAATGGACAGACAATTCCCTCAGCCCTGAGTCTGCACAAGGTACCAACCTTCAGTTATGGAGCTAGGGTTGCCACCTTTTCTTCTGTCTCAGTGCGTAAAAATAAAGTGTTTCTAGGTGTCTCAGTGTGTAAAAATAAAGTTAACACAGGAACTTTCTCACCTCTCCTCTCGTAGGATCTCCTACCAAGGTACCACTTACAGACCTACAGACTTTGGTTCCTATGGAACCAAAGGTCTGTGAGTTTGCTATTGACCAGCACAGTATGGGGGAACAAAGAAGGTATTTGAAGTTAGAAGACAGTTTGAATTTTCAACCGTAGCAAACTTTTTTTGCTTTGCATAGAGTATGTTAGCTTATTTTTTTCTGTCTGAGCACTATTGGGGACATTTCCTTTCACTTCCTGTCCCAAATGATGCCAGGGGAACTATGAAGAAATCCCCAAAATGAGGAGGAGGAGTCCAGGGCACGGCGGCGGGCAAAGAGGACCGGCCCGAACACAATCAACTTGATTGTGTTCAACCTGGCCCGGCCCACCGGGCAAGTGTCCAGTTTGCCATATGGCCAGTCTGGCCCTGCCTGAGAGCCTGCACAGCCCTCAGTGTGAACAGCCTGCACAGCCCTGCACAGCACAGCCCGCCGCCGTGCCCTGGACTCCTCCTCCTCATTTTGGTGATTTCATCATTCTTTATTTTTACACACTGAGACACCTAGAAACACTTGGTTAAAAGTCACCTCCTAACCGTACACATGTTCATTTACTAGTACAGTGCCGTGTTTTTCATTGATTAACGGTACTTGCATTCATGTGGTCTTTTTATGACTTATAGTCCACAAACACAAATATATGGTTATTTGATTCACCTACTAGCGCTGTTAATTCAGTTAATTCAGTTTAAATATGTTTCATTTTACACTTTAAAAATGGGTGTAACGTGAAACATGATCATAAAGGTAGAGCATTCTTTTAATGAAGGCTGTAGTTTTAAACATGTTGTTAATTCATTTTAAAATGACATGGACATATTAAAGCTTAGGCGAGATTTTAGTGATTGGTTTTCATTACAAGATAAAAAAAAGCAGCTAATACTCATCTTTCTAATGGGCATAGCAATAGATCTTTGCTGTTTTGGAAATCTGCGGGCATCGCTACTATCTGACACTTCTGGGTGTGTCAGATACCTTAGCCCCTCTGGGTGGCGTACTGGTCGCACACTGTTACCTACTACAGGACCCTTTAATTCTGTAATTAAAGGGCCATTGTATGCTGCTAATAACAAAAGATGTACATGCAAGTAATGGGATAAATGTTATTATTCTTACCTGTAACAGTTGAAGGTCATTTATCTTTGTTTCCCAGTCAAAACAAGGGTGTTTAATAGCACGTCTAACTTTGATTATCTGCTGCTGGTTTGTATTGACAGTCAGTGAGTGAGCACCCAGGACAGCCTTTGTCGAATTTCCACTAAAAGCAAAACATTTTGGGTTACTTGAAGGGAATTAAAAGTTCTTTTAAAATTTATTTTTTTCAACACATGAACATGGTCAGAAAAGTTAAACCTGTAACAAACCTGGACAATTAAAACAACAAATGAAAATATGAAACAAAAATACTTGCGCTTATAGTGAAAAACACTGGTCAAAAGGATCAGCAGACGTGGAAATGAATCAGGGTTAGTGAATTTAAATTCAAGGAGGTCCTGTGGGCAAAATTTCCGAATCGCATTTGGGATAGAACAGTCACGCAGTCTGTGTACAGACGTAATTTAGGCTGCATTAACACTAGCAGCTGTGCTACAATGCACAGCTGTTGGTGTGGTAGGCACAGTGCTGATGCACTGATCCCGATGCATTGCACTTTTTAAAAATCTTTTCTTAGTACTTAGGGGTCTATTCACGAAGCTGCCGAAGGATCTGGCCGTAGAAGCTTTCATTAAGCTCTATGGGCACAGCATGCTGTGATGTTGTACCACACTGTTGCCAGCTTCACTAAAAAAAGTTAAGCATCCATCAGAGTGACCCCTTACATTGCTTGTCCCCATCAGAGTGCCTTGTTATTTTAGTTTTTAAGGTAAGGGGGCACTCTAATGGGGGCATCTAATGTAAGGGGGCACTCCAATGAGAACAACTAATAATTATCTCACTCTGATTTTATTAAAGTAAACATATCAATAAATACAAGTCTGCATTCATAAATCACTTCAATGTCCCAATATATAGTATTATTATTATTATTAATATGTTTTTATAATTAAAAAGCAGTCATTGAGCTCTAGTCCAGTGGCTAGGTCAAGAGGAGCATTCTGTCTTCAGTCAGTGCAGGCAAGAGAAAAAATACCCTTAGTCTCTTTCCCAACATTTAGGTTTAGTCTCTAGGTTGGTGCTAGACATTTATTTTTGGAAAAGAAAAAAGATAGGAAGGGAGGGGGGAAAGAAAGGAAGAACTAAAGGAACCAATGAAACCACAAAGCTACTAATCCCTCAATAGTTATCTCTCGTCTTGACTATTGCAACTCCCTCCTCATTGGCATACCTCTACACAGGCTATCCCCCCTTCAATCTATCATGAATGCTGCTGATAGACTAATCTACCTTACCAACCGCTCAGTGTCTGCACCCCCTCTGCTAATTTCTCCCCTGCTTTCAATTGCCCAAATAATGAAATTAAAAATATTGACAACCACTTACAAAGCCTCCACAACTCTGCCCCTAACATCTCCCACTATGTCTCAAAATATCACCAAAAAAGACCTCTCCGCTCCTCCCAAGACCTGTTTTCTTGCTCCCTCGTCAACTTCTTACATACTCACCTCCAGGACTTCTACAGAGCCTCTCCCATCTTCTGGAACTTCCTATCCCAGACTCTTCATCAATAAGCTACTCTGTCTGCCTTCTTCTATTGTAAAGTGCTGCAAAAACTGTTGGCACCATATAAATCCTGTATATAATAATATGAATCATAATCTAGCAAGCACTGTTGTTCCTTCTGCCAGCCCTTATGTCACTGCAGGGTACGGTGGTGACGTAGGAACCAGTCGGTGGAAACACAGCACTTCAGGGGACCAGGTGTCTGACACTCTTATTCTACAAGCTCCATAGCTCTTGAAAAAAGGGGACAATCAGCAATGCAGGTGGGGAGATAGTTAAGAGATATCTTCCTTACAGAAGGAGTTTTTTCTCAACTTTTCATTTTGTGACAGGGTTGCCTTAAATAAACTACAACATTGAGAATTATCAATTCCAGTAATGGGCACATTTTGCTAGTACATATGATTCTTTTATTTCTTCCTTTCTTCTTCCCTCCCTTCCTTCTTGCACCAAACTTGTAACTTTTGTGCTGTTTGTATGCATTTTGTATAGAAATACAGTTGTTAAATATTTTATATGTAGTCCCCATTCACATCTAAGTGTGAGCGTAACCAAGTGATTTAGAAGGTTTTGTACACTTTTGTTTCTGCAAATTTTCATAGTACAGGAGCAGAATTGTGCAATTTTGGCTCCATAGATTTTAAAAGGGAGCCCCCAAAAACATGTATGAACACTCATTTTATCAAGTGTTTTCCAGGTGTTTTCATAAATGTCTATGGGAACAAAAGTGCTTCATTGTGCACCAAAAGAAGCTAATGTACTTTTTTGAACTTCAAGCTACAAGTGACACATTACTCAGTTATGAATAAGGTCTTATTGTCTCTCTTGGCTACAGTGTCTAAAAAGCTGTAATATAAAATACTTACAAGATACAATGAGCAGCAGTTATCACCCAGTTGGCCTTAATAAGGGCCCCTCCACATGCTCTGTCTCCATCCTTCAGAAAAACCATGTAAGGTCTAGAGTGAGGAACAGCCTCCTTGCCTCCAATTATTTCCACACAAACATCTGCAGATTAAAGTACAATACAGTTATTAAAGAGCAATCCCATGCATTATGTGCAAGCATTCAGCAAGCTGCTAATACAACATAGTAAATACAGCTAAAGTACAAAGTTCGTTAAAGCTAAAAAAATCTGTGTTAATTCCCTGCAGAATAAAATGCACACAGCTCCACAGAGGGTAGTTGATGTGTACTTCCTGAAGACTCTGATACTGAACTTCCCATATCTCTCTGCTTCCTGCAGAGGCAGTAGGGGTGGCAGACAAGGAGGAAGTTCAAGCATCACCATCAGGTGTTTTTCAGGATCGCCATTTTACAGAAGAAAAAGAGTGGAGTGAACCTGTGCACAGTTCAGAGCAGTGCTATGTTGTGTACCCTGAAAAACTTCCGATCAAGACTTAATTTGTGAGTTCACTTTATGATTTTAATAGAAATCATGTGGATATTTTCATATTGTGATAGGAAAAGATGAATATGCGGTAACACTCTGGACACAATCAGAACTGGAATATTATTGTTTCAACATTGTTTAAATATTCCCCTGCAACTGGTCAGTGGTCAAGTAACATTTGTTGCAACTTGTGGCCTAAACATTCCTTTTGTGCCTTAGGCCTCATGGATATGGCAGTTAAAATAATGCAACGCAAAGCATTTTTTGTGTCTGGATCTCAACACGGGTATATTGTTTTCAATGGAGCTATGCACATAGGTACGCAAACATGCTCTGCATTAAGATCCATAACACAAAAACGAAAAATCTGCGTCTAAGGACATAAATCTTATGAGCATACACGTGTAAACACATTGTTATGTGTAAGTGTGTCAATAATGTCCAAAAAATAAAATAACATTGAAAACAGAAAGCAGAAATGAGTGGAATGAGACATTTACGCAGTTTAACACATACATGATTATCTGTCTAAAAGCAAACATTTTACTGATCGTTACCCAGAATTTTTTTTGATCATGAGTACATTTCTTACAGCCTTGTGCATGTAGCCTAAAACAAGCTACAATCAGGAGAAAGACTACAACTTTAAACAGCAATACAATAAAATACATATAGGCTATGAGGAATTTTATGCTGGTCCATAGATGCAATAGTCATACGAAATAGCAAGTACAGTATAATAAAAGTAATAGTGTTCTGTGCAAATAATCGTAAAAACTATACCTATCAATATAAAAATCTATATCAAAAGTGCAAGTAAACAACAAACAGTCACAAAGTCAAGTGTCAAAGTAAAGTTCATAAGATACATTTCCTGAAAATCACGTCAAAAAGTCCCACTCAAAAAGTGGCATACACAGCTTCCGTTCCCTGCTAGGGGTCCAGCACTGTTGAGTGACAATTAGCTGTTTTTTGTTTGCAGTGGACGCATGGCCGAAGAAGAGCTTTCGGTGGTGTAAATGTTAATGTTATGTGACACATACATCTTACATTTCAATGCTAGAACTTTTCTGTCCCTGGAATGCTTCAGAGTTATTTCTCTGATATTTATTTTATGTTGAATGTTCTAGAGTTATTGATCTCATATTTATCTTATGTAATGACACCCAGTGTACTTTGACACTCAGAAAGAGCGACTCTGTTCACTTTGTTATTTACTTGCACTTTTGATATATATCCCGATATTGATCAGTAGTTTTTATGATTTTTTTGCACAGAACGCTATAGCTTTAATGCAATTTGATGTAAACAGTTGCTAGAGTGGTATTATTTTGAGTGTTTTTTGAAAACTCGGGGAGTATACTTGTGAGTACAGAGAGTGTTAAGTATCATTCATAAGCACTATTTCCTGGTATTAAACAGTAATATTGGAAAAATTAAAATAACAGAGAAGTGGAAAGTATACCATATAATACTGAACATATAGTCAATTGACAGTTTTGGAAGAGGAATATATTCTAAATCAGCTTTTCTCAACCTTTTTCTTTAGTCACGGCACCCTGTAAAAGTATACAAAATCTTGAGGCACCCCAGTCTAAAATGTCATAGATTTAAAGGGGGATCCTACGCAAAAATTCACAAAAAAGTAGGTTTCCGCTTCACACCGAACTGCCCCATTCAAATCAAGATTTACCCTCCTTTACATCAGAGTCACCCTTTGTATCAGTAGCCCCCTTCACAACAGGAGCCCCTCTTTCACATCAGAAGCCCCACTTTCATATCAAAGTCCCCCCTTTCACATCCGAGTTCCACTTTTAGATTAGGAGCTCCATTCACATCAGTCTTCATTCCCTCTTCCTATCACACTCTCACTACCATAACATTTTGAGGCAACCCTGAGGAGGCAAGGAGGAACACCAGTATGCCATGGCACCCTGGTTGAGAAAGGTGTTCTAAATAATTCATAAACTGTATGTGTGAAGTAGATAAACACTGTATGACGCTGTATAAAGCAGTACCCTCCTGGTCTGATTGTACAGGCTGAATTCACAATGTTCCATGTGCAGGATACATGATAACACACACGTATGGGTGTGAACTGGCCAATGTAGTTTTCCTTTCAGAACACATAAGCTGTGGCTGATTCACATTTATTAATCTGTTCTGGTAGGAAAATTATACGTGATCACTCACACCTATGGGTCTGCATTTCCATGCTCACTTTAAGGCACACAGAATAGTGTGAATCCAGCATAGTTTTATTCCATGCTTAGGTTTTTTGAGTTTACAAATCAATAAAAAATAAAGCCCAAGTGATACATTTAAGGCCTATTTACACTTTCCGGGTTTTGATGCAAAACTCTTGCATTTTGTGGAATAAAACTGCATGTCAAGTAGAACTTTCATTCTTTCCTATGTGGCTGGTTCACATCTATGTGCATCAATTTAGTGTTAATGATGAAGGGAAACTCTATGGGCCCATTTACACCTACATGTGTGCATTACCATGAGAACTGCGTGCGCACACAACAGTGTAAATCCAGACTTGGGACCCATTTACACAGCACACATACCAATGCACTAAAATACAGGTGTCATGGTTCCTCATAATATAAATGGTGTTTGTTTCCATCTTGGCGCTGCAGTGCACGGTACTTTTAAAAATACAACACCTCTATTTTTTTTAGTGTGTTAATATCAGGATATTAAATCAGGGCTACCCATAAAGCGCGGATCCACATTTTTTACTATATAAGTCAAAGTCAATGCATTAGAAACATATAACGTGTTTTGATGCGTTGGCGACAGGTATTATAAAGCCTTGATCAATGGTTGTTAACTCTGTCTATTCCAAATCCTAATCAATAGCAGCAGCAATAGGAACAGCCATCAGGAACAAGCTCTTACTCTGACATATTTCATGCTAGGCACAGCACATTTTCTAAGAAGGCAATGTGCCTAGCAAGAAATGCATCAGTATCAGAGCCTGTTCATGCTGGCTGTTTAATAAAGTTTATATTGGTGCTATTATTGATTGCTTCAGTGGGAATGAGCCCAGCCAGCACCCGAGAAGTATTTGGGGTAGAGTGGAGCTTTGCCTCACCTGGAGTGGTATGTACTATGTTCAACTGCAAAATGTGCATTACAATGCATAGCAACACGCACGCACAAGAACACAATGACACCTGCCTAACACTACACTACTCCCACTGGGTAGATTTTTCCTCGTCTCCTGTCCCTGTAAGGCTTGTATGAAAACTGGGGTGTTTAGTTGTCATCTGGACACAAAGGCCTGGACAGCAATGAAATCATTATGAGAAGTTCTAACTCTTCCCCACACTACTACAAATATCAAACGTTGTCAAAAGTGCTTTCAGTGCCAATTTCACTTTGCTCCTTCTGTTGGTGACCATCTGGAGAGGGTATATTTCAAAGGTGACACAGATGCAGAAAAACCTTTAAATTGAGAGTCTTTTTTTGCTATTCAGGGCAAAGTAATATATTGATAGCTTCCCCCCTCCACTGCCAGTAGTACTTTCCTACACTCTTTAGTATTCAGGAGCCCTGTGAAATACCTTGTCCTGCATATGCTCGAGCATTCTTCTCTTCTTCCATATTACAGCATTGGGCACTTGAGCAGCCACTGACCAGGCTTGAGTGCTGCCACATGGTCGTAGAGAAAGAGTCCATAGCTATTGGAAGCTACAAGCAGCAGGCCTGGAACTAACACAAGGTATCATGCTATTTTTGCTGGTTTTTAATGTACCTGCTGAAATTAGGCCAGTGTATGGGGCTCTCTGCTTTCTTTCAGCCTGCATTCCACGATCAGCTGATCGAAGGAGCCTGCTGGAAAATCTCTGTGCGGTCAAAACCGGCAGCCACTCAGGTAACAATACAAACAGCGGCGATTCCTCGATCGACACGCTGTTTGTGTTGATGGAGAAAGCGCGTCAATTTCTTCCGTTCAGCCTGCATGTTGAACAAAAGAAATTGACAGGTGTATGGCCAGCTTTACATGGACCTGATTGTCAAAGTACAGTGTTCCTTTAAATAGCTTTTAACACTTCCCATTCTATTCAATGTAGGAATAAACTTTTTTGGATGAATTTCTGCTTGGACATTGGAGTTTGCTAATCCACCATGGCAAGTACCAAAACATCAAACTGCCTTTATTAAAAAAACAGCAAAATGGTTGCACTGAATTCCTTCTAAAGCAAGGATTTTCCCCTCTGATTACCCTTAGCAATCTAGATTAGCCCTATTGCGTTTGGTATGATTGTGGTAAACACATTAAATGTAAACTTTTGGCTAGAGTAATGATGGGTTATGAATCCTGCCAGCTAACATTTTTGCTAACTGTGTATCACTGAGGAAATTTCCCTTCACTTCCTGTCCCAGAAACGCAATTGGAAGTTAGAGGTAATCTGTCAAAGTGAGTTGTGCCCTAAACAGGTATCCCCATTTCCCACCACTTGTTCCTGGAACAACTCTAAAGTTTTTAATTTCCCCTCACTCTCTCAGTGAAAATGTTCACTAGAACACACTAGATAGGTGACTCTCCCAATGGGGACACAGACAGCTATACAAACTTGACAAAAGGTCTAACCTTTCTCCCCACTATCACAAACTACAAAAAATGGTTTCACCTAAATATACAATTTAAGAGTCAATGATTGAAGCAAATCATTTAGTGATCACTTTAAAGCACTGCAAAACTTGTAGCACTATATAAATAAGTAATAGAATTAAGATAGTATGGAGGGTAGGCTATCATACAACTGACTTCTAGTCCAGTAATCCTAGAAAATAATGCCACTGATAGCCTAACGCAACATAGTACAAAACTGTCATATGCGGATTATAAAAATATATAATACTCTAATTGCATGGCTCCCAAGGTATATGGTATACCTTTTTCATAAAAAAATATATGAGAATGGCATAAGTAGTCCCTTCAGATTGCTTTAGGTTTAATGGTACTGTCAAACAACCGCAGAATGAAAGAAATAACTTTGATGACAAGTTTATGTGAGTCTGTACTTACAGCCACTGATATGCAGGAGGAAAGACACAGCTGAGAGTAAGTAGATATGCCTCATTGTTAGGAATCACTGTAGCAATCTTGAGCTTTCGCACTACAGCCAGAGACTGACTAGATATTTATATATGTGAACAGGTGATGTGGTTTGACTTCTGAGAAATGTTCTACCTCACATGAGGCTTTTTCATTCTATTTTAGTGGTTAGAGACCACCACTGTCTATCACTGTTCAAGGGGAAATAATGATTAACACAGTCATAATACAATTCACAAGAAACACGTTTTCATAATTAATTTCTGAAGTATGGAAAAAAGCCAGAGATGGATGCTGGGGGGCCGAACCATTTATTTGCCAAAAAGGAAACACTTAAAAAATCAGTCCACCCAAAACCGTTCAGGTTTGGATAGATGTATTCAGCCTTATATTGCACTTGCAGGCCTCTTCCAACCTGACATGGCAGTTGCAAGAGGGTCTCATATTCTCTGTTAGGGTTCTCCTTTATTTTACATTATGTTGAACTTAGGAGGAGGTTCAAGGCTTTAGGGTGGTTGATGGCAAAATTAGCTCTTGGCACAGGAGCCCCAGGAATAAAGTGGAAGGCACTAAGTAACTCAGAGCACCAAATTGTATTCATCAGTTTTGGCTGAACTTCCATCCCTGTTTAATAAACTCAATCATTTTATGTGCTGACAAAAATGCTTTCGACATCATTTTGAGACGCTTCTGAGATCATTCAGAAATCATTAACAAATGCATTTGGCCTGAAGTTAAAGTGACAATAAAGTCACACACAGTCCCTCCCCCCCCCATACTCCTTTAAAGGAGAACTATGGGGTTAAGGCTTTTCCCTATAGTTTTCCTTAGGGTAACAGGAGGACACAAACTAGCGTCCTCCCTTCACCCTATGCTCAGTATACCGCGAGCTGCTGCTTGCGGTATACTGAGACGTCGCACCTGAATCGGATCCTGACAATTGTACCGGGATCCGCCCAGCTGCATGACTGACAGCTCGCTCTGCCTATCTAGAGACAGAGCCAGCTGTTCCCGCCCCCTCCCCCGTCCGTTCCGCCAGTCAGCGCTGGTGGATCAGAGCGGGGAATCCAGCCCCTCCCCTATCACGGCAGAGAGCCGTGACAGGATCGAGAGGTGAGCGAACACCGGTAACTGTCCACTCACCTCTCGATCTACTGAGCCGCACTGTGACAGTCCCATTGTCACAGGTCGGCTAAAGCTATGAGGTGAATCCACTCACCTCTCGATCTACTGAGCCGACCTGTGACAGTCTCATTGTCACAGGTCGGCTAGAACTATGAGGTGAGTGAAAAGCACTCACTCATAGTTCTCCTTTAAGGACTTACCTTAAATGATGCCTCTTGATCCGATCTTCTTCTTCTTCTTTCCAGTAGTTTTCAAGAGTTCCTCCAGCGCTGGTGCCAATCTCGGATTCAACGCTAACTGCTGCGTCTTCTGTGTTTCACGGTGTATGTGCGGGTGCACACTGCCGGCTGCGTGCATTGACTTGCACTGTGTCTCTCCTCTTCTCCCGGCCAAAGATCTCTCCTGCGCATGTGCCCGCCCCATGATCCTTCACAGATGCTCCAGAATCCTCAGACCTTCATACGGGAGTAAGTGGCAGAGACACAGGTAAGTTTTTACCTATTTGGTATCTTTTTTTATTTTATTTATTTTAATTTGTTTTTGCATATATCTACTGCTTGCTAGCAGTAGATAAATGCAAAAAAAAAAGATGAATTTTTAATTCTACTTTCACCTCCTTCTGCTTTAAGCAGTCTTTGCATTTCCATAGACTTGCATGGAGAGAGAAGTAGTGTTGACACAAGCAAAAGCCCATTGACAAAGGCCCTAAGAAGAAAGGGTCAGCAAAGCTAATGCACATGTTTGTTAGTGCAGCCTTTTATTTTAAAACATGTATGTGACGGACCGCCTGGTACCCCGACTGGGTACCTCCGTCAGAAATCAGCTTCCTCTCCGCTAGAACCCGAATTTCAGTGTCCTCAGCCCAAACCTGCCTAATTTTTGGACGGAACCAATATATTAGGCCAGAAAGCTAAACTCCTCAATCATCAGACAACACCAATGTTGAGGTGGAAACCAAGAACTGCTTTATTGAAGACCAGCTCAGTATTTATACCGTTCTGGAAGTCTAAAAACATAACATAATCAAACATGAACAGCATGCAAACAGACATCCCCTCCCTGATGCCTTAATGAATGAATAGGGAGAGAGGAGACACATGTGATGGGATTATCTGCTGAGTGTCTATCATGGTAATCTACTCCTCTACACCCGGAGTCAGCTACTCCAAGAGTCAGCTATCTTAATCCCATTATCAACACAATACAACAAAGGGACCAATAAACTGTAACAAGTTCAATGTCCAGAATTATCCCCCTTCAGTGCTGCTGGATTCACAGCCTGCTGCCTATAATGAATTAAGGGTCACTTAAATGTCATGTCAGGGAAAATATGCAGTATTGTCACGCCACACATAAACCTGGTAGAATGGCTCCATGTAACCCCAAGAGGTCTGAGGGGGGTCTCCATAGTTCTAGGTCCATAGTCAGTAGGAAGGAGGCTAGCCCTCAGGCTCCTCCAGCAGCCCCAGTGACGGTTCAGTCCCTCACAATGTATTCTTTTTTTTTTTTTATTAAGACATAACAAAAGAAAGTGCATGCAGTAACATTAACGGTTATACATTTTCTGGAATTTCAACAGACCATACCATATTTTTTCTAAATATAGAGGAGTAAATATTAAGAATGGAAGTCCTTGGAGGTTCAGACAAAAATTCAGTTAGTTGCAAAATGGTATCCCACCTAATTTCCCAACCTTGGACAAAAGTTACCACCTAAACATAACTCTAAAGTTCTGCCTGGACTACAGTTTCAGTCATGGTGCAGCATTAGCCCTGACAAAGTGTTGGTAAATAGTCCTAAAATTTGTGAAGCACAACATTCTTATTGTAAATATGAAAGACCTAATTTAAGAGCAAAGTTTTCAATTCATATTATACCAAGCGCATGGTCAGTATGGATAAAAGTGTCCAGATCTTAGTATGATGCAACTCGCTAAAGTATTGCATGACATTATCTAAAAAATTTATGTTGGTTTTTGGCGCTGCTAGTCCAGGGATATCATAAATATGTGAACATTTAAAGTAAGTGAATTGAACCTTCAAGCACACTTTAAAATGCAGTATATTCAATTATTTTATCTAGAGCTAGTTAAACTCTTAGAATATCTGTAATATGTCCTGTGGTTTATAGTTTATATTCATTTTACCTTGATATACGGTACTCTTAAAAGTTTACAACACTAAAGATTAAATAAAACCAGAGAGGTAAAAGTTTTCTTATTTCATTTTGCTTAGAATGTTACTACAATAGTTTTCTCTTTAAACAAAAATCTAAACCCAATAACTACAATGTAAGTTTTAATATATTGTTGTAATTTAAAAAGTTGCTTTCAGTCTTTTTAAATATGCAGCCTTCATTAAAATAATACTTGGTGATCCTGCCATATATGTTTTATTAGTTTCGTTTCTGTTATGGGGTGAACTGTCTCCCAACTGTGCTCCTGCATTGTCACTCTCATATACTGCCTGGGTGGAAACAAATAGTGGCTGTGATGACACACATTGTGCAAGCATGGTCCACTGTTGTCACTATCAGGAAGCTGATCCAGAGTAATGATGTGCAGTTGACACTGGAATGAGTGCATGTAGACAGGAGTTTGCTGAAAGGCTGGATTGGTAGCACCAAGATTCAAAGGATAAAAATGGTGGAAGAGTAAAAAAAAGGCATTTATTTATCATATACAATGCCTTAGCAAAATGTATGCCATCCAACTAGGAATTAGATTTACTTTAAGGCTGGATTCACACCTAGTGCGTTGTGCTTAGGTCATGTTGAAACGCATTAAAGACACTTGAGTTGATTTGTGCTGATGTGCTTTTTTAATGCACTCTGTGTTCATGTGGTTTTTTTCCACGCACAGCGGAAGCCAAAGTGCGTTTTACTGTATTTATTTGCAACATGTTCCATTTTCACCCAGAACACCTTAATGAAGTGTGTTGGTGTGAACTGGGCTTATTGGAAACAATGGATTTCAGAGGGTCATTACGTTGGTCCTAGGCTGAGCCTTTGTTGAGCAATGCAGTCCAATGGATGCGCTTATGGGCCCTAAGTGACATTGTTTGTTCATGGCTCTTAGTGTGTTTATAAAACTTGTGATAACTTTAATTCCACTCACTTTAACATACAGTATATGCCTATTGAGAGGATGTGTGCAGTAAAATGCCTTCTTTTATTGTAGTGCCCCCCTGACCCCTAGAGGCATGAGGTGGACCCCCAAAGGGTCAGGAGGGCTGACATTTCACTCTCGGGTGATCCTAAGCCAGAGAAGAGATGCAATCAATACATTGGGCGCCAGTCACTTTAAGGACCTTTTCAATGCTTTATTAACAGAGAGAAAACTGGGAGAGAGGGTATAGGGCTTCAGACCTCCATGTAGAGTTGCCACCTTTTCTTCCATCGAAACCCAGACACTCTAGCGACACGCGGAAATTTTCTTGGAAGAATGATTTGCGGCTTTTTCATATGTAAATAGTGCCACCCCTTCATATGTAAATATCACAGTTGAGACTATTTTCAGTGGGGGGGCCAGTAGCCCCTATCTTAATTTTGGTTTCGCCTGTGTGCCTGACATCTTGTGTCCGGTTTTCTGCTGCCATGAAACCCGAACACAGCATTCAAAACCCGAACTGTCCGGGTGAATCCTGGACAAGTGGCAACCCTACCTCCATGGCCAAAATAGACAGACACCAGGCTTTATAATTCATTCAGGCTTCCACAGTGCAGAAAATACTGCAGTAGAACAAGGGCTGACACTGTGCAGTAGAATAACAGCTCAATAGGGATGTGCATGAGATCTTCCCTGGAGAGACGTCAGACTTGTTCCTGAGTTCCATATCATCTGCTGGTACCTCCAGCAGTCATAGGGCTCCCCTGGTTATCCTCCCAGTCAGTTCCAGACCCCTCCTGGGACTATCTATGCACTTTCCCA